AGTGTTAGCTATTTTAAATTCATTTTAATTAAATATTCTGGTAAATAATTGGCCAAATAACTTTATCAAATGTTTCCTAGGAGAAGCAAAACTCACAGTCTGAGTTCACTATGGAAAACTTGGCGAGCACAGTAACTGATTTATTTGTTGCTGGGACAGAGACAACAAGCACCACTCTGAGATATGGACTTCTGCTGCTTCTTAAGCACCCAGAGGTCACAGGTAAGAGCACAGATGATTAGTATAGTGAAGTGCAGAAACGATTCTCACTAAATGTTGCTAGAGTCCTCCATGTTTTGTATACTCCAGAAAGAGCAAAGCTCTAGAAAAAGTTACTTGTATTTGTCATCTTGTAGAATATTCTCTCCAAGTGCTTAGTGGAGTGAATGAAATGAAAACTTATACCCTAAGTTACAGTGTCATCTAATTTTTGCAAAACCAGGGTAAAAGAGAAAAGCATAAAATCTTTCAGAGAATTCTATTAGGTCATGTATAAAAGAATAGGTTCAGAAATTATCAGAATTCTCAATATTATTTTGCATATTAAAAGAAAAGAGTATGTTCAAACATGTGTGATTGCCACAAACTTTATAGTCTATTTTCTCTTTCTCCAATGCTGGAGGCTGAGCTCCATCAAAATATTAATATTTGCAACTAATTCGGAGGACATCATGAGCTCCAGCTGTCAGGACACCTCATGTAGGAGAATGAGAGTGTCAGGGAGGCTGCAGCACTTCAGAATGGGCTTGGTGGATAAGGCATGTTGAGGGGAGACTCCAAGAACGAGGGAGAAGTGATCCATAGTCTGTGATTTCCCAATAATTGGGAAATTATTAGCTGGAGTTTGAAACATCCACGTGAGCATTTGAAAGTAATTCTAACTTGAGCTATAGAGATTATGAATTCAAGTAAAAAGACATTTTTATGCCCAAGAAAGTACTAAAAATGTAATGTAATCGCAGTTGTCTTACCAGGGAAGAATATTTATGTCGTCAGAATCATGTAAACAATGAATAGTGATATAAGCAAAGATTGTGGTCTAAATATATTCTGTTAAATAGAGTGAGAGGAATTGTGTGTGTGTAGGTGTGTATCTGTGTGTGTGTGTGCGTGTGTGTGTCTATATATGGTGTGGCCATGGAGATTAAAATTCTCATCACCTGTACCAGTAAATCTTTAAATATTATTTCATGCGGGGAACGTGGCCAGTGTTCCCTGCAAAAAACCAGGTCCCTTTGGTAGAGTTGCAAGGGATAAGAAAATGATAGAGAGAAATGGAAAATGGAAGAAATAAAAGAATACACTGAGACAAAGATACAGTTTTATAAGTTTATAAAGATTATAGGCAAAGCGGGAGCTAAGGGGGCTTGGACCTCTCCGTTGATCTCAAAAAGCCCCGAATGAGGTCTTACATGGTAACTTATAGAAAATAGTGAACAATTGTCAGGGGTAACAAATTTACATAACAGCAGGCAGTTCCTCTCAGGTTAACAGATTTTCAAAAGGCTTTTACAGAAGGGTTCTACAGATTCTTTAACTAATTCTATTTACTTGGGCTAACGGTTACAAAGTCTTTCAAAGGTTAATTTCTAAATTCTAAGGTAAGTTTATCATTTAAACAGAGGGGTTAAACAGAGATAGGCAAGCTCCATGTTTATTAGGTTATTGTGAATGGAGACAGGTAGTCTAG